CTAATGCTTTCATAAAATCTGGATTAATACTTAATACATTTGGTTGAAATTTGTATAATTGTCTTAATGTAATAAGAGCTCTCTTTTTAACATTTGTTTCACAGAATCCTGTACATAATTTAAGAACAGATGGTGCTAATGTATCTGCCATTTCCATATTAGCTAATGTAGAAATAACAGTTAAAGCATCACAAAGAACAGGTTCTAAATTATTTTCTAAATCTTGTTGTAATGTATTAATAATCATTCTTGATGATTCTGGAACATTTGAAAATAATAAAACAAATGCTAAATATCCAACATGTTTATCAAAATATTTACTACTTCCTAATAATTGAATAACTTCAACAAATCCAGTATCAACCTCATATCCAAGTACTTCAATATATGCCATTTTTAATACACACTTTCTTCTGTCATACGAACTGATTTTACCTTCTTTAAATTCTTTACGAATCTTTGCTAATTCACAATTGACTAACTCTTTTTCTTTTTCAAGACTTGTACATTTATGTATACTCTCTGTAAAATTTTGAAGTCCTCTAATATAAGTTTTGGCTCCTTCCATCTCGTATTATTTGATAATTGAGTTCTTTATGGAAACGTGTTAATTCTTTTATTCATTCTTTTTCTTTCTCTTCTATTCTTCTTTTTATTTTTTTGAACTTTCTTTTTTCTTGGACTTTTCCTAATTGGTTTTTTTTGCTTTTCTTTTCATTTTTTTTTCTGTTTTTTATTAATATTTCTGGCTCTTTTATAATTCATTTCATCATATTTTGATGTTTTTTAATTAATGATCTAATTTTTATTTTTAAGATTATAGTATTTTTTAATTTCTAGAAAACGAAAAATATCTCCTCCTGAGGTAATTCAGTACAATTATTAATTGTAAAGAAGTAAACAAAGAATTATATCTTTTTCGTTATTTTAATTTTTATTCTATCAATTACAAATTGATTATAAACATTATTTTAGAAATAGACTAATTAAAACGAAATTGTGATTGTCAATTCAAGGAAGGTAATTATTAAATTTTGGTTTTATTTTCATTTAATTTTTTTTTTAAACCAAAAAAATATTGAATAAGAAAATTTAATAATACCAAACACATACTTACTTTATTTCATTGAAACAAAAAGAAAGTAATAAAATAAGATTAACAAAATTATATAACAAAAAAATAAAGAAAAAATGATTATTAGTTAAAATTATTTTTAAAAAAATATTATATTAAAGTAACATTTAAAATATGATTTTATATTAAATTGTCATATAAAACAAAAAATGAAAAAGAATATCTAAAAAGGTCTTAAAAAAAATAAATAATCATGGGAAAAAAGAGATATTATTGTGAATATTGTCAAAAACATCTTGTTTATGGAGGAACGAGAAGCAGAAAAGAGCATATTCTTGGAAAAAAACACAAAGATAAGATGGTTGAATATTTTAAACAATTTGAGGCAAATATTTTGCAACGTATGATTGATATGGTTGTTCTTGACTATCAAACAAATGGACCAAATACAACAACCCAAATACCACAATATACACCATATCTTTCAACTTGGGAAAAACAAAGTAAATTACAATACCAACAGATTGCAGAATCAATGAATTGATTTATTTGTTATAATTATTTATAAAAAAAGAACAAAGAAGTCTTGACAAAGAAATCATTTCATCATAAAGAAAATAAGAATAATTTGGAACACTCCAACACATATTGAATAAATACGTTTTTTATTTTCTTCTGTTTGAATTGATGCTAAAGAACCAAAAAATGTTTTATAAAGGAAAAAGGCATATGAAGTTCCAAAAAATAATAATGCTATATATGTTAAATAAGGAATTTGTAATGAACCAACAAATGTACACATTAATACACTATTTAAAATAAGTATTGTTTTATTCTCTACTTAAATAATTTCATTTAACAAACGGTACAAAAACATATGAAACATATGATAAATAAATTCTAAAGTCAGAAGAATAATTAAATAACATATATTCAAGGAATTTTAATATCATTACTTCAAGTGAAATAAGAATTAAACATAATGTTGTTGTCATACTTAATGTTTCTGGTGTAAATGTTCCTTTAGACCCATAATAAAATCCTATAGCAAGAACATAACTAATAAATCCCATTAAAGGAATATATAAATCTGGTGCATAAATATCTTCTTGTGGAACGTTATATAATTTAGACTGATCTTCACCAATTACATATTTTCTTTCCCAGGTACCTAAGAATGGATATGGCATGATAATCATTAATATTTTTTTCAATACAAATGAAGTATTAACATTAAAATAATATCTCCATGCATCAAATGAAAAAATTCCACCTAACTGTGACTTAAGTAATTGGTCTCCTTGATTTAAATAATTTTGTGCTACAGAAAGACCAGCACTAGCAAGTGGGTTTGTTGCAATATTATTAAAGAATTGATCTGCTTGAGACTCTTGTTGATTTTGTGTTGGAGGGATAATTGGTTGTGGATTGATTGGTTGTGGAGATGACATTTTACAAATTAATAGTTTTTCTTTTTATTATTATTTTAAAAATTTATTTTTATTTTTTTTTTTTGTTAATAAAAAAGTTATTAATTACAAAAAAGTTCTGTTTTTCTTGTATGTCAATACTACTACTTTGATAAATAGGTATTATTATCATTAACCACAATATTCGTTTGACTATTTTCTTTATTACTTATCTTTACCTCTAATTATTTTCTAATCTATTTAATACTAAAAGTTTATTTTTCATATTCATCACTCTTTAATTTCTTTTTTTATTTCTTTTTTATCTTTTGAAATTATTTTGTTCATCTTACAAAATGAAATTATCACTAATATCTTCAATTTATTAGTTAAGAAATACTACTATTCAATCAGACAAAGAAAATAATACTAATTTATTATTTACTGTCTATACTTTTTGATGATTTAATGAGATTCTTGTAACAACAAAATATATCACTGGCTATTTATCTGTTAGTTTATATTACATTATAAACAAAGTCTCTTCATTTAATATTTATGTATTATGTTTATCATAAGAAATATTTCTATTTATCACATTTAATTTCCAATAAAATATTAAATCATCAAATAATTAATATTTTAACAAGAAACTTTTTGAAATATAAACACCAATTATAATAAAATAAAACACACTCATTAAACTGCAACATTTTTAAGGAAAAACATTATTATTATCTCTAAATAAAGTAAATGGTGTAAAATAACTAAACAAATTAAAAAAAAAATAAGACATAGACAAAACAATAATAAAAATATAAGTAATTAAATCTTATTAGAAACGTAGTGATTTTTTTAATAACTGAAAGAGTATTAAAGATTTTTGAAGTATTTAAATTCTTTTATTAAAATAACATATTAATTAATTATAATATATCGTTTTATAAAACAATATATTATAATTATTTTCTGAATTACAAAAACCAAAAAAATAATAAAAAATTAGCAAAATCTATAAAGTCAAAAGATTCAACAAACGAAAAATGAGTTTATCTAAATTATCATTAACTTCATTATTTACACCACCATTTACGGTATTAGATACTATTATTGAATTTGCACTTAAAAATAAAGATACTAAAATTGCAGATTATGTTTATAAAACATTAACCATTGCCAATAGATTAGAATTATATATTCATAGATGTGTTAGTGAAGAGATACAAGGAACTCGTTTGTTTTAGATTAAAATTTAGAAAAAGAAAGTACTGTAAATTCATTAATGTAGAGAGTGAACAAACAGCATTTCGATTAAATTCTAAAACAACACGATTATTAAATATTATTTATTTAAATCAAGGTATTGGATTTCTATTTCATTGTTTATCACCTCTTTTTGATGAAATAGAAAAAAAGAAAATCAAAATAAAACCTGTTTGTTAATTACCTTATCTCAATCTACTAGTTGAATTACCATTCACTTTCTAGCTTAGAACATGTAAAACTGGTGACCAAGACTTAATAATTTGTGCACAATTAGTAAATATGACATTTCAAAGAACTATTTCAAATATTGATAATTGTCCTCCAATAGTAAGAAGAGTTTTAAGAAAAGTATATGATGAATTAAATAATAAATTCCCTCAAAGTAACACATCTTGGATATGTCTTGGTGGGTTTATTTTCTTAAGATATATTTGTCCAGCAATTATACGTCCATTAGAATGGGGGTTAGTATATGACATTCCTACAGATATGCTTGAAACATATACACAAATATCTGTTGTTTTACAAAAAGTAGCAAATGTAAAACATTCTGATGTTGATGATCCATTAGGAAGATTAACAAATGTATTAGTTGAATCAAGAAAATTAGACTATTTCAAATTTGTGACTGAATTAGCTGTTTGTTTTTATTTGAATATTAAGAATTTATGTACATATCTAATTATTAATTTATAGAATGTACCATATGAAACATTAATTGAAGAATATCCAACAACAACACAACAATTTAATTATTACCTTGGAAAATTACAAGACTATTTCCTTCAACATAAACAAGAGATTATTTCAACACTTAAACCTTCTCAAATAAATAAATTTTCAGTATTTGAACAAATGAATTTTAATGAACCTGATTCTCAAGTTACTCTCCCATCTATTGTATTAAATAATTTGACTCAATTCCCTCAATCAATTAAATCTAAATACATTTTAACTGAATTAAAAAATAAAATTGAAAAAGGACAAACAATTACTTTATGGGATATACATTATCTTCAAAAATCAATGCAATTAGAACAAGCAATTTATGAAGAATCTACAAAAGATCTTGTAAATGCACGTTATAATAGTTATTTTCCAGGAATAGTTACATCATCAGTAGAATTAATATATCGAGAAGATTATTCTCAATGAACATGAATCTGTTAGATATTTTTAAATTGAAAACTTTTTATGAAAAAAATTAAAAAAAAGGGTTTTTTAATTTAATAAAAATTTAAATAAACAATATGAGTGAAGAACAGCATGATTATGAATTAATAGAAAAAATGAAAGCATTAAGAGAAAATGTTGAAGAATTAGCAAATAAAATAAATGTATTAAATATGAAGTTTGAATGTTTATAATAAATGAAAAAAAAGGAATAAAATTTATTTGTTTAGATTACAACAAAACCCATTAAAAACACAAAAAGGTATTTCCTTTTTAGATGTAAAATATTCATTATTATTTGAATATAATATGTACTTAGCTTATTATTGTTGGATTAAATCGTCAGGGTCAAATGTTGAACGTCATAAAGCTATTGAACGATTATTTTATCTTCGTATTTTAATGGAACGTTGTAAACCAATAGAAAAGAAATTAAAATATCAAATAGATAAACTTTTAGCAGAAACTATTGCTGATGAATCATTAAATGCTAAACCAAATGTAGATGATCTTGTTGTTGAAAAGAATGAAGATGGAGTCTATAAACCTACTACTATTGCAGGTAAAGCAATGGAAGTTGAAGTAAATGATGTACCTGATGCTAAAACTTTTGCTCGTCATGAATTAGAAGAAAATGTAGATGATGACATTGATGCTCCCGAAGAAATTGGATTTGATGGTCAAGTTGTTGTTGATAAAGGACAAATGGAAAGAGAAAAAGAGATTAGAAAATATGAAGAACAAATGCATGTACGTTTAAATAAAAAACAAAAATTAACAAAAGTTCGTGATGAATTCCAAGAACTTGAAGATTTTGTTAGTAATTTAAAAGATGATTTAGTTAAAGAATATAGAGGAAATAAACTTAAAGGAGATATTGTTGATGACAATGACTCTATTAATTCTGATGAAATTGAAAGTCAAGGAAGTGATGATAATAGTGATCAAAGTGAAGTTGATGATGAAGAAATTGATAGTGATGAAATTTGATTGAATTGATTTTTATTAAAAAAATTTATTAAATCTTTTTTTTTTATTTTTTCATAAAGTATTTTTAATATAATTAAAATTTATAATTTTGATGTATTTTAAATTATTTTATTTGAGACAATTCTTAATTTGTGGTTTTAACAAGAAAATGAATTACACACTAAAACGAATAAAAACCTAAAAATTCATTTTTTGTGTAACTATGTTTCGTAGTTTTTAACAACTAATAAACCTTTTTTTAATTTATAACTAACTAATTGGAAATAATCCTATCGTTCAAAAAAAAAAAATTTCTTAATTTCACATCAATAATATTACTAATTAGTTGTGTTATGTGTAATATACTTTTGGAATATTTAAAGCTATTTTAAGATTTTTTGATAGTATTCAGTAATCGTTATTGAAACAAAAGTAAATTATATTAAAAACAAACCCAAGGTAAATACTATTTAATAATTAAACAATGAAACGATAACTTATAATAATGAGTAGATTTATTTTCTTGGAATTTAAAAAGAAACATTTTGCAAAAATTAAATTTTTTTAACTTTTCAAAACCAAATAACATGAGAAATAACTTTAAAAACTTTTTTCTTTAAAATATTTAATTTCAACATCACACCCACTTGTAGTTCACTATTTTTCAAAAAAATGAAACAAATAAATTAATATAATTAGTTATTTGAATAAAACTCATCCGATTTTCAAAATTTATAATAACTAGCAGAGTAAAGTAAAATGTAGTTTTGGTTTGACGACTCATAATTAATGCAAACTTCACGTTTAAGATAATATATTATGAAAAAGAAACAAAAATAGAAGTTCTAATCGTTATATTTCGTTTGAGGAATTTTTGTAAAAAAAAAATAGGATTTCAAATATAAACAAAAAATACCAGATTGAAATATGTAGGAATTGAAAAAGATGACATGAGTTTAATAAATAAAAAAATTAGATAATTCTGGAAAAACACTATAAAGTGAATATACCCCTTACTTTAGAAGAAGTTAAGGAAGATAATTTTTAGATGAATAAATATGAATAAAAGATTTAAAAAAATAAAGTAATATGTAAAAATAAATACATATTCGATCTTTCTAGAAGGGGTAAAAATATATTTCATTGTCTCTTTCAATGAGAGGATTTATTATAATTAAACTAAATTTTTTAAATCATTAAACTATTTAAAGAGTTTAATTGAATCTTTAAATTAAACAATTAATCTTTATGGCTGATATTTGCTTAGTTATTCTTGCTCTTTGTTTCCCATCAATTTCACTTTGCTGCAAATACGGAGAATGTAATCAAACAGTATGTATTTGTGTTATCCTTGAATGTTTCCTTTGTTTCTGGGGAGGAGTTATTTTTGCTTTAATCAAACAACTTGAAGATTAAAATTGTTTTACTCTGAACTTATTGGTTAAAGATTAATTTTAATTTACTAAAATTATATAAAACAAAATTTCATTTTATTTTTTTTATAAAAATTTCAATTTTTTATTTGAATCAACTAAAAAAGAGTAATGGGAAATAAAGCTAGCAAAAAAATCAAGTGTGTTTTTATTGTTCACTTATTTAATTAATACTCATTACTTAGAATTGTTACTATTAATGCTGCAGAATCAAAACATAAAACAATTTCTGAAATTGTTCGATTTGCACCACCTTTGAGTATTATTATTATAAAACCTGGAACTTATGAAGAAACAGAACCTATTGTCGTAGATAAAGCAATTCAAATTATTGGGATTAATGAAGGTAAAGCAAAACCAATTATTACTTCTCCTCGTGGTTGTATTGAAATTGATTGTCCTGATAAAGTTATAATTAAAGGACTTGACCTTCGAAACACTGAATCAAAAGTAGTTATTGATGCAAAACAGGGTGAAGCTTGTATTGATTCTTGTGATATTTCTACAGCTGAAGATGGTGTATCTGTTACTCATACTGCTAAAGTTATGTTAACTAATTGTCGTATTTGTGGATGTTCTAAAGCAGGTCTTCATTGTGGAGGAAAGGAAATTAGATGTATTACACGAAATGTACAAATTTATGAATGTACAACTGGAGTTGCAATATTTAATGAAGCAAATCCATTAGTATCATCATGTAACATTACACAATGTGGAATTGGATTATTTGTAAGTGAAAAAGGAAGAGGATGTATTACTGATACTTTAATTTCTGGTAACAAAAAGCCAGGAGTATTAACTCATTCTGGTGGGAATCCAGTATTAAATAATACTAAAATTGTTGATGGCTCATCAAATGGTGTATTTGTTCGTTCAAAAGGAAAAGGTGTTTTTGTAGGATGTGAAATTTCAAAAAATAATTTACCTGGCATTGCATCTTGTGAAGGAGGAGAGCCATTAGTCGTTTCATCAGCTATTTGTGAAGGAAGAAATGCTGGTGTTTTTGTTTATGATAATGGAAAAGGCATTTTTGCACAATGCCAAATTCGAGACAATACAATGCCTGGTATTGAAGTGAGAGCTTCTGGTAATCCAATTGTTGTTGGATGTGAAGTTTCACGAGGACAATCAAATGGTATTTATATTCATAATAAAGGTACAGGTTTATTTGCTCAAACTAAAGTTAATGAAAATACCTTACCAGGTGTTGCTGTAAGAACTTCTGGAGATCCTATTTTATGTGACTGTGAACTTGTTGCTGGTAAAGATAATGCATTATTTGTAAGTGATAAAGGAAAAGGTGTTGTTTTAAATACTCTCATAGAAGGATGTTCAGCACAACCAATGGTTATTCAAGATGGTGAGCCATTAATGGTTGGGTGTTCTGTAGTTGATGGAAAGAAAAATAATGTTCAAGCATGGATTAATGCTATTCCTGAACATCTTGGTTTATTAGAAGAAGATATGCCTGATTTTGATGCTGTCTAATTTTAATTTTTTCATAAATACTATTATTTTAATTAGGAAGTTAAAGAAAAAAAAAAGATAATTTAAAATACAACAAAAATGAATAGTGTAAAATTTTATTAAACTAATAAACTAATTAAAAAGGAGAACTATAAAATCAAAAAGAAAAAATATGTCAATTACTATTTATACTTCATCAACTGGAGGAAATTTAGTTAGTAAAAACTTTAATTCTATGCAAACTATGGTTAAAATTCTTACTAAACAAGAACCTAAAATTGTTTTTATTGATATTGATTTAGATTCAAAAAAATTTGCAGAAGAAAAAAGTGGAAGAAAAGGGCAATGGCCATTATTATTTAATGGAGAAAAATTTATAGGAAATTATGAAGATATTGAATATTTAAATGAAGATGGAGAATTAGCTCCATTATTAAAATAATATAATTTTTTTTTCTTTTCAAATTTAAAGAGAAAATCAAAAGAATATTAATAAAATGTAATTAATTAATACATACAAAGTTTTTATCTTCTTATTATATTTTCTTTATATAGAAAGATTAATTATAAAAAGAGAATTATTATAATTTTAAGATTTTCCAGAAAGAGTATATCTAGGTTTTTGAATTATAATTTTTTGATTTGATAAAACAGTTTCAGATGTTCTTCCTTTAACTTGTTTATGTTCTTCTCTTACTTCACCTTGTTCACATAATTGTTCAAATAATTTCATTTTTTCTTTTACAGAAGTAAAACTTTGATTAAGTTGTTCTGTTTTAGAGTCTGAGTGATTAATTTCACTTTTAATTTGTTTTCTTAATTTAATAATTTCATATTCTAAAACTTTTTTTTCATTTTGAGTTTTTTTTAATAATTTTTTAATTTCATTCATATCATTATTTTCTTCTTTATATTCTAAAATTTTTTTATTTGTTTCTTCTTCTTTTGTTATTAAAGCAAATTTTGTTTCTTCAAGTTCTTTTTTAATTTTATCTATATTATCAATTTTTTCTTTCATTTTAATAACCTCTTGTTCTTTTTCATCAACTTCTTTTTCTGATTTTCTCAGCATCATATCTAATTCTTCATTTTCTTTATCATATTTTTCAATTTCTATTTTAAGTAAATTTATTGTTTGTTTTAATGATTTAATTTCTGTTTTATATGTTTCTTCTCCTTTTATTTCATTTAATTCAATTTTTAATTTTTTTATTTCTTTATCTTTTTCCATAATAATATTTTCTTGTGATTTATCTTTTGAATGTGTTGTTCTTTTAATTTCTTTTATAGTTATAGTTAAATCATCAATTTGTTGTTGAAGTTCTTTTGTTTTATTTGCTGAATTTTCAATGATATATTGTAATTCTTCAATTCGTTTATTATTTAATTGAATAGTATTTTGTAATTCTTTGACTGTATTTTTTAATACTTCTTTTTCTTCATCATATTCTAATTGTTCTTCTTCTTTAATTTTAAAGACTTTTTTTAATGTGACAATTTGAGTTTGTGTTAATCCAATTTTTGTTGAATTTTGAAGTAAAAATTGACCTGAATTTTCATTTGACTCTTTTAAAACTTTCATTAACATTTCAAATTCATTAAAAAATAATCTTCCTGCCCACCAAGTAATTTTATCAATTAATGAATCATTTAATACTTGAAAGAGTGCTTTTGTTTTTGTTAAATAATCATCTGACAATCCATATTTATCTTTTATCATTTCAATTATTTCTGGTTCTGCATTTTTTTTATAACAATAAAATTCTCCTGCATATTTTGATGTTATACCAATAGAACGAAGAATAATACTTGTTAAAATGTTATTATTTTCTGATTCTTTTTTCATTATAATAATTATTAGTTCATAGGTGGTGTTCTTTTAATTTTTGATGAATCAAGTCCCAAAAAAAGGGATATAAAATAAAAAGGAAATGAAGAGAAAAAAGGGGGTTGGAAGTAAAAATTTTTTAATTATTAGCTTTTTATTTATTAAAACTATTTTTTTTTTTGATATAATATTTTTGGAAGATAAAAATTATTGAATTATGATACTAAAGAATGGATGTTGTAGATATTGTTTCCATGTTAATCTTGAGTCTTGAGTTACAAATAACTTTCTTAACAAATCTATTAATACTACAAATTGTGGTTGACTGCCACAAACAAATTCATTTGCATGTTCAATAATTTCATTGAGTTTTAATTGATAAAAAGAATAATAATTTTCAATAGGAATATTAGAAGTTTTTTGAATATTTAATACAGTTCCAGTAATCATTTCATATAATATGACACCAATACTAAACAAATCACATTTTTCATTATAAATTGTTCCATGTGAGATTTCTGGTTGGTTAGTATAACTTGAACCAACAAATATTGTATCAAAATTATTATCTCCAATCAACCTACTAGAACCAAAATCACATAATTTTAATGTTAGTCCATTAGGTTTTGATGGGTCTTGAAAAACAAGAATATTTTGTGTTTTAATATCTCTATGAATTATTTGTCGTGTAAATATTAAATATTTCATTGCATTATTAATATCAAACATAAATTGTTGAATATATTGTAATGAAATTCCATTGGGATTCATTGAAATAAAATTAAATAAAGAACCATATGCTGAACATTCCATAATTATATAATAAAATGTATTTGAATCTATTGCATCTTGTGAAAAAAAATTAAATTTTACTGATATAGGAGACTTAAAAAATTTATATAATCTAACTACATTTTCATGACTACAAATATTCATTGTACGAACTTCTTTTATTGCACTTTCATAATCACTCATTTCTTTTATTGCAAAAAAATTCCCTTTATATGACGCTGAAAATACACATCCAAATGATCCTTTACCAAGAATTTTACATGATTCACGATCAAAAATATCAAAAATATTACTAATATATTCCGGTTCAATATGTTTATATTTCCAACATTCATTAAAATATGGATCTTTCATCATGGCTTCTTTAATTTTTGAAAAAGAAATTAATCTTCTTTTAAAAAGCTTTTCAAGAAACTTTATTGGTGGTTGAATTAAACAACCATTTAATTGTGAAGTTAATGTATTTGTATTAACAATAAATTGTGAGTCTTGTATCACTGGATTTTGTTGAAAGAGAAGTTTATTTAATAAAACACCAAAAGAATTTATCTCAACTTTAGTAGTAATGTCCCAACTTGAAATGTTCTTTATTAAAAACTCATTTGGAACAAATGGTTTAATTCCATCTAATTCTTTTACTGCATTAATGAAATGAGGTAATAAAAATCCTAATGACGATACTTTCATTTGAGGAATAGGTGATGATGGATCACTTTGAATTGCAAATGACATTGAACTGAATAAAAAAGGTTGCTCACTTTTAAGTGATTGACATAATAATTGTTTCAATAAAATAATTATTTCTATTAATGTTTGTATGTCACTAGAAAAATATTGAATTGCTTCAATTGAAATTGTAGAATTAAAATAGTCATTAACAAGTCGATCTATTTCACAAACAATTGAAATAATTTCATCTCCCTTTATCAATAAGTTTTTTATTAAAAATAATAAACAAAAAACCAAACGTTCTCATCAAAACCAATTCCCCATTCTTGTATTTTCTCAAAAAAAGGATTATCAACAGTTGATAATATTTGCAATAATAATTTAGTTATTTCATAATCTGAATCAGTATTAAATATCTTCTTTGGAAGGACTAAACAATAAATATTATGTTATTAAATTAATAAAAATAAAACAAACAGTATTGGGTAAATCTATCTTCAGTAGAAATTATTAAATTTCTACCAACAGAAGAAATACTCTTCATATTTCTTATAACAAATAAAGAATTATATTAAGTTCTTTTGATAAATAAAAACTTTTGTTTTTATCAAAAAAAAAAAATAAAAAATAAAAAAAAATGAAAATTTAATTCATTTCATTTTTTACGTTCAAATGACAACTAAAACACGCCATATTCTTATATTGTGTGATCTTCAATGTAATTCTCCAGTTATTGAAAAAGTTGGTTGTAATGAAAATAAGTATATTTATCCTCCTATTAAAGTTGGAAATCCTACATATAAAAATGAATATAAAACAATTCATTATTATACCCCTGAACATTTACTTCAATTAAAACATAATTTTCATAGTGTTTCTTCTGTTACAGATGTATTTGATAAACTTATTTTAAAACGATCAAATTCATCAACGCCAATGAAAATAGTTACTGCTATTTCTGAAAATATTGACTCAACTTCATTCATTCGTTCTTCATTAAATAAGTTATGTCAATCAAATATGTCTCAAATTCTTAAAGAATTAAAAACACAAGTAAGAACAGTTAATGATGCCAAAATTGTTCTTGATATTCTTTTTAAAAAAGCAGTTAATGAAAAAAAATTTACTGGTCTTTATGTAGATTTTTATAAACAACTTCAAACAATATTATTATCAACACGTGAGGAAGTTGGAAAGGAAATGCCTAAAATTTTACTTGATAACGCTCAACATTTATTTATTAATATTCCAGAAAAAACTGAAGAAGATCAAAAAACTGAAGAAGACTTAGATATTATGAAATTTGAATTTTTAGGAAATTGTCGTTTAATTTCTGAATTATATAAATCTGGTTTAGTTAAATCAGCACTACCTGTATTATGTATGAACCAACTAGTTAATGGTGGATTAATTGCATTAGAAGCTCTTGCCCAATTAATGAGTGAAATTGGAAGTATTAATCAAAAAGAAATTAAACCAATTAAAGACAAAATTGTACAAAGGGTAAAAGAGGAGTCTTTACCAAAACGTTATTGTATTATTCTAGAAAATGGATTAAAAGCACTTGGATTTAATGAAAAATTAATGTAAGAAAACTCATAATTTATTTTCTAATAAATTTATGTTTTATTATAAATATAATAAATTCATATCATTTTTATAATTCTTTCTATAAAGTTAGAATTTATATTATTAAATATAATTTCTCTATTATTTTGAAAAGAAATACAATAAAAAGGGTTTTAAGAGAATTAATTATTAGTAAACACCAAGGAATTCAGATGTCTGGAGGAGATGTTGAAACTTTTGAAAATGCACAAGCCGTTGTTGAAGAGCTTTCACAAGAATTAAAAGATATTAAAGCTATTTTATATCAAGCCCGTGCACAAAATGCTTTAACTAAAGGTATTAGACAATGTCTTAAAGTTATAGAAGCTAAAAAGGCACTCTATTGTTTTATTGCTGAAGATTGTGATAATGATAAGTATACAGGCTTATTAAAAGCAATCTGCAAAGAACAAGGAGTTAAGATCGTTATGGTCCCTCAAAAAATCCAACTTGGTGAATGGACTAATCAATGCAAAATAAGAGATGGAGCTGCTGTTAGAATTGCTAAATGTTCTTGTGCCATAGTTGGATGCAACATTAAGTTTACTGATGAAGTAAAGAGATTGAACAAAAGAACTAACTAAACAAGTAGTTTTTAAATACCATATTTTTATTATTTGTTTTTAAGTTTTATTTAAAGTACATTAATTTATTATTGAAGTATGTAATGATAAAACTTTTAATTTATTTGTATCTCTCATTTATTATTAATGGCAAAAGAAATTAAATTTTGTGATTTTGGTTTATTTCCTTGTAGGTGTCAAACAACTGCATGTCTTGAGTCAAACTGTTCTTGTTTTCAAGGAGGAAATTTTTGTAGTCCATTATGTACATGTAATTGTTGTAAAAACAGAAAAGAAAATGAACAAGAGGTATTGGCTAAAGCCAGAAAGTTGCTAGGTTTAGAAGAACCTCATTCAATTAAAAATGAGAACTTACCAATAGAAAAGGTCAAAAAGTCATTACCAATTAACAACGAAGTAACAAGAAAAAAAATTGTCACAACTCAACCAGAAGTTAATAAAAAAGAAAAACAAATGTTAATTAAAAAGATTAAACAAAACTTGAAGAATCAACCACTAAACGATTTATTTAATATATTAATTAAAGACTTGACAAAAATAGAGATAAATAGAACAGATTTAATGAGTGATGAAGAATATAATGAATTACTTAGAAAAGAACAAGATACTGAAATTATAAATCGTTCATTAAAATATATTAAAGATTTATTTGATTGAATTCTATTAATATCTCATGTTTTTCCTTTATATCTAAAAATTATCATTTGTCTGTTAAAGAAATGACTAATATCTCAAAATCAAATCTTATAATTAAAAATAGAAAATTCACAGCTGAGGCTTTATGGTCAATGGGACGAATTAATGGATATGACCTTTTTGATAACAAATTGTTATATACAGTTTCCTATTATGACATACCTAAAAATGGAAGTTCAAGTCATATCATTATTAAAACATTAAATTCAAAAGAGTACACAGACCTTACTTCAAAAATGAGAGACAGTAATGACCAACTAACTAAAAATTGTGCACAGTCTCAAACTAATGCGATTTTTGATAAAAATGGAAGAGGAATCTTATTTAATTCAAATGGAAAGTTGTTCGAATATTATTTTGATTCAGAACAAGTAGAACAACTCTCAACAGGTTCTTTAGATATTAGTGAATTTAAAATATCTCCAGACTATTCTAAATGTTTATTTATTTCATCTGTTGAACATAGCTACAAAAATGAAGACTATAATGATTTACCTTTGACTAGTGGAATGATATTTGAAGACTTAAATTATCGTCATTGGGATGAGTTTAATACATCTCTACCTCATCCATTTGTTTCAAAATTAAATAATATGAAATTTGAAGATCATCCATTTGACATTCTTGAAAATGAACCATATGAATCACCATTAAAGCCATTTGGTGGAATAGAACAATTATGTTGGTCAAAAGACTCGAAGAAAATAGCATATACATGTAAGAAGAAAGTAGGAAAAGAATATGCGACATCAACAGACTCAGACATTTATGTCTATGATACTGAAACAAAGACAACCATTAATCTTTGTAAAGACTTTGAACCAAAGAATTATGGGTTTGACTCAAATCCAATGTACTCACCTAGTGGAAAAAAAATTGCATGGGTTAGCATGGAACGTGATGGATATGAAAGTGATCGTAGTAGATTAATTATATTTGACCTAGGCACTAAGAAAAAAAGTTTTGTGTCAGAATGGTTTGAAAGTAACGTTGAAAGTTTTGATTGGATTAACGATTGTCAAATGGTATTTACTGGTGTATGGCATGGCTTAACACATATATATCTTATTGAAATTAATAACGATAATGAATTAGTTAATCATGAGCAAATTACAACAGGGCAATATGACTATAAGTCTGTTAAATGGTTTGGAAATATGTTAATTGTTAAAAGACAATCAATGATAGAGGCTGATGAGTTATATGAACTTGATTTAAAAACTAAAGAAATCAAACAAATTAGCTTCGAAAATGATTTTATCTATACCCAAATAGATAAAGCCTCTGTGCAACCAAAGTGGATGAAAACAGTTGACAATAAAGACATGTTAGTTTGGGTTATTTATCCACCTCATTTTGATTCAACAAAAAAATATCCAACGTTGCTGTATTGTCAAGGTGGTCCTCAAAGTGCTGTTAGTCAATTTTGGTCTTACAGATGGAATTTCTTATTAATGGCATCAGAAGGGTACATTATTATTGCACCGAATAGAAGAGGATTACCAGGTTTTGGAATGGAATGGTTAGAAGAAATTTCATTAGATTATGGAGGTCTTTGTATGAAGGATTTGTTAACTTCTGTTGACATAATGAAAGAAGAGTCATACGTTGATTCTGACAGACTTGGATGTGTTGGAGCAAGTTTTGGAGGATATTCGGTTTATTGGCTTGCTGGGCATCATCAAAAACGATTCAAAGTATTTATTGCACATGATGGAATATTTAATACAGAGGAACAATATATAGAAACAGAAGAAATGTGGTTTTCACAATGGGATATGGGAAGTGCTGTGTGGGAAGGAAAAGAGAAAAGTAAGAAAACATATGAAAATTCACCACACCGATTTGTTGAAGAATGGGACACACCTATTTTATGTATTCATAGTGAAAAAGATTATCGAGTAGTGGTGAGCCAAGGGATTGCAGCATTTAATGCTGCAAGGATGAAAGGAGTGGCAGCGGAGTTATTATATTTTCCCGACGAAAACCACTGGGTTGTTAAAGCACAAAATGGGATGTTATGGCAAAGAACATTTTTTAGATGGTTGAGACGATGGTTAGAATGAGGAAAAGAAAAAGTTAGAGAAGGAGAAGAAATTAAAAATATTAGAGAAGAAAAGTCAAATCATAGAACTAATTTAAGATGGAGGTTAAAGAGAATTTTTTCAAGGGTTTAAGTAATTTTAGGAATATGATTTGAGAAGAGGAGTATCAAGAAAAGATAGGAGTTTTAGGAAGGAAGAAAGAGAGAAAAAGGTAAGAGAAAGGAAAAAAAAAAGAAATTAGAATCATAAAGAGGCAAAAGAAAATAGAATTAGAATAAAGGATTTTGTTGAAAGATATCTCAAATCAAAGAAAAGAAAAACTGAGGATTGGGTGTTATGTCGATTAATTCTAATCAATGGGAATAGTAAAAAAGGAGGCACTATTTAATGTGGGGGTTAGATAGAACTCAAGAACAAAATGTGTTACGAAATGGATAGTAGTTCTCAAACACTAGGGACTACAATAAAAAAACAAAGAAGACCAGCACAAATGTGGACAGCAGAAGAGGATGATCAACTTCTTCAGGGTGTTAAAATGTATGGAATTAATCATTGGAAAGATGTTAGTTCCATGGTTTTAGGAAGAACTCGGAAACAATGTAGAGAACGGTATTTTAATCATCTTGATACTGGGATTAAAAAAAAAGCATTTTGGTCAATTGAAGAAGACCGTATTATTGTTAAGCTCCAAAAAGAAATTGGCAATAGATGGACTGAAATTTCAAAATACCTTCCAGGAAGAGCACCAAATTCAGTCAAAAACAGATATTTTTCAGCATTATTTAAAAACCAAACAACAATGAATGGAAATGATAAACATAAAGTGGAAGAACCAAAAAGTGTATTTAAGCCTGTAGATCGACATTTGTATGATGTGATGTAAATAAATGAATGTTATTAAATAACAAATTTGTTAAATGAAATTTCAAATAAAAACTAGAAAAACACTATAAAATAAAAGAATGATTTTATATGCTGCTGTTTCACTTGGATTAGTTAACGAAGAAGATTTTAAAGGTGACACAGGGTTATTAGTTTATAGTCTAAAAGACTGGGTTTTTACATCAATTGATTCAATATTGAATGATTTTGAAAGTGGAAAAGTTGATACATCATCTTTGGACCAACATGACAAACTAATGTTTACATTGACAATATTAGGAACATGTTTTTCATCATTATCTGAAACATCGACTGACATAAATAGAAAAATACGATGTTTAAAAATATACAAAGAATGGTTGACAACACCAAATTCACCAAGTCTTATTCAAAATAATTGTAAATATGTCAAAATGATTCTTGGACATATTTCATTACTCTTCTCTCCAGAAAATAGATGTTGTTCAGATATTGGAATGTTAAAAACAGGAATGTTAGAAGGTATAGAAGTAATGAAAGCATTTATAATAAATCACATTACAAAACAAACTTCATTATTCAAAAACAATAGTGAAAGGAATGATAGTATATCAACAATTATTGGAATTATTATAGGAATTATTTTTGTTAACTACCACAAACAATTTACTAAACCACTCAATGAATTAAAAATAATAATAAAATTGTTAACAAGAATGTTATTAAGTTGTATCATAGAAAATGGGGTAGATAACATAATTTATAAGAAGTTTATTAAATTCTGTCCAGAGTTTCTTAATAACAAAGAATATCGAGAGGTATTTAATTCATATATAAAAACTATTCAAGGGGTTATTTTAAAAAATCCAGGGATGAAGAATGTAACAATTGATAATGAAGGATATTCCAATAGAACAGACTCAAAGACTATACGAGTGATTTGGATAACTTTACTTTCTTGTATTCAGCAACCTCAATTACCAAAATATATTCAAGAAATGAATGATGTAGAAATAATAGAATTTAAAAATATGATAGAAAGTTTGAATGAATGCAATAGAACATTATTTATTGAGGCAAACACGAGTAGAACAATGAAGGTTAAAACAATTCATAAATTATATTCACCATTATTTTTTTATACACAAACTCTATTTAGTAAAAATGATAAAAGTATTGTTGGGAATGATGTTTATGTAAAGAATAACTCAACAATGATTTCTTTTTATACATGTAATATTAAATATGTTGTTAGTGATAGAGAAGTATTTTCAGGAATGATACATTATCTCATTCAAGGATTAAAAAATAAAAATAATGACATTGTTATTCGTTTATTACAAAATATTTCAGATGGAATTGAATGTATTGAAGTAAGAGAGAGATTATGTTATGAAACTCTAATAGAAGTTTTTCAAACTATTTTGGATAGGATGATTGATATTGTTCAAAAGAGTAATAGGGCAGAAGACCTTAAATCAGTTTTATGTGTTTTAGGGTCATTAAAATTCTATCATCCGAAGTTAGTTACTATTAAGGATAAGAGAATTGGAGAATTAGTTGAAACGTACTATATTTTGATTATGAAATTAATGACTAAATACACTAATGAGCCAATTCAACAAGATCAATATTTTAATGTTATTGGGACATATATTGAAGATTTTTGTTCTATACAAAGAAGAGAGATGGCACAGATTTTAATTCAATTTATCATTGCAATGAATGATCATGAAGGGCTTGTTCATAAAATGATAGAAGAAAGTATTAAAATGAAAAAAGTTTTTGAAAGCAAATGGAATTCCCTATTAAATGTTTTAAGTATTGTTTGTACAACACTCTATGTTATTGAAATGGATCCAAATAAAAAATTAGGTGAATTTATTGAGAAAGTAGTACAGTGCATTACACCAATCATTAGTAAGTTACAATCCCTATTAACACGAGGATTAATGATTAAATATCTTCATTTATTAATTACACTGGTTACACTAACTCCAGAAGTAGCAACAAAACACTTTACTGAAATGACAAAGTTGTTTACTGGAATAACATCATGTAATTGTACAAGGGATGAAATTGACAATATGTATAAATATTATTTATATTATTTTTGTAAAGCAGGAAATATGGGTATTTGTGAAAATGAAAAAGAGTTAATCAAAAAAGTCGATATTGAACAAGTTAGAGTTTTTGGAAGTAAGGATAGGTTACTTACAATTATTGACCAAATGGATGGAAGTGTACAATGTGTTATTAGAAATTGGACTGGGATTCATTCAATCAAAATTCGAGGATCATTTTTAGAAAAGAAAGAAGTTGAAGGAAGTTGGGAAAGAAAAGAATTGTTTATTCAAGGAATTGAAAATGGAGAAGTACCACAAACTATCAAAAAATATATTGAAAAAAAGCATATTGAAGTTATAAAAAAGGATCAAATGGTTATCAATATTAAGAAAATAGAAGAACATAAGAGTGAACCAGAGAAGAGATGGAATAATTCAATGATATCAGCAAATATTTATAATATGATTGGACAGAAAGAAGACAAATGTATTTTGTTTGAGAAAGAAGAATTAAACAAGTTTTATAAAGAAGAATCTACAACAATTAAATTAAATATCAAATGTAGGATAGTCAATAAGAAATTCAATGAAATAATGAAAGGAATGAAAGAAAGAGAAGAAAAAGAAGTTTTTGATGAGATGTTAGGGACTAAAATAATTATTAGAGAAAATGATTTTTATGGTACTAAAAGAGTAGGATTAGCAGAGTTTGAATATTCAAATAAAAAAGGAGATTGTGTGATATACATCAACACTGAAAAAGAAGGGAAAGTTGATGAAACGTATAGTATAGTTATTAAACAAGTTGTTGGAGGAATTTATACAGCAATCATAGAAAAAACAGGAAATAATGAATATATCCAAACAGGTTATAAACATCCATATTCAATTATTTCATCGGTTGAAAGAGAATTAACTAATTTAGTTATTGAAAATAATACAGATATATTATTTATAAACACTAAACAATTTAAAGTTATTCCAGAAGTTGATCTTAGTCGTGGAATAAATGCAATAGAAGGATCAATATTATCAAGAGAATTTGCAAAAAGTATTAATGAGAAATAAATAAATTCTAATTGACTTTCTTTATTTTATATTAGAATTTTATTTATTCTATGTTTACTCACATATCATTTACTAATTAAGTCATTTATAACAGAAGAATCACTTAAATGTCAAAAAAGATAAATTCATAATTCTGTTTTATTATTATATTCAATTTTAAAGTTTTATTTAAAATATAAAGTGAATTAAAACGAATTATAGAACAGTTAATAATTATAAATACCAAATTAAACCCTTAGAAGATAAAGACAAATTCATACTCTTCAAAGAATGTTTCAAAAACAACTAATTTATATTTTTTATTTATCTTTTTTTTAATGATTTATATAAACTTTAAATGATGTTTTAAGTTAAGTGTGAAAATGTCTTATTAATATGTATTGAAATTAAAATTCTATGTTTTCAAGTTGTCATGGTAAACAACTTAAAAATTAAAAATTTACTCCATCAATAATTTTTATATTCTCTCAAATCAGATAAAATCATCGATGATACTATCCAGAATTACTGGTTTCTAATTAGTGATAATAAATTCAATAATTAGATTCTGATAAAATCTTAAATGAAAGTAATCCTTATAAAAATAATCGATCTGTTACTCTTATTATTTACAACAAAAATAATCAGATGTTGAACATTGAACTTATCAAAAAATTAAATAAGAAAATTTTATGGTTTGTTACATAAATAGTATTAGATGGTGTAAATTCTTATATTTTTGTAAAACCAATTAAACTCAAGTTTAAAAAGATAACTCTCTCGTGAACACTGCTTGTCAAAATGCGTTTACTAAAAATGATATCTTTTTTAATATTTAGGTTCGTTCTATCATTAAAAAAAACAATCAAATCAAAGAAAATTTGATTTAAAAATAATGACTATCTTTTTTAGAAGCTAAATAAGTTCTATTCTGATAATTAACAAATAACTTTAAGAACATCGGTGTATGTATTATTATAACGTCATTAAATGACTCAAAAAAGACAAAGAATGAAGAGAATTGTTTTTTTTTTTTAGATTTTTATGATATTCTTTGAAAAGAATGATAATTAAAAAGAGTTTAATCTCTAAAGAATTACCTGTCGTTGTAATAATAAAAATAAGTAAATTAATAAGAATAAATAATATAATAAAAGAAAAATATCTTTAATTTTTGAAAAGAAAGAAAGTTGAAAGTATTTTTGAGACAAAAGAAAGTCACAGGAGAAAATGAAAGGAATAAACTTAAGAAAATAAACAATATCAAACAACCAAACCAAAACCCACCACATCAGCAAATAATAAAAAGGCTTTTTCATTAACCCTGGATCTAATTGATTAACTTTAGAATGATTAATGACAATACACAAAAAAATTGTGATACGCATTTTTTAAACTCTTCAAATTCTCAACAACAAGAGACACCAGTTATGTTTATGACATTAACAGAAGAACAACTTAATTATATTCACTCATTTAAACTTGGTAATGTTAAGTTATTAGATAAAGTTACATTTGTTATTGGAGTTTGTTTGTTAACAATTGGAGAATATGTGATATTAGTAAGACCAGATTTAATGCATATATTTTATATGTGTCTTGTAATTCCATTGGTAACAGGAAGATACTTAGTATATCGAATGAATAAATGGCATTATTTCTTATTAGATTTTTGCTATTTTACCAATTGTGTGTTAATTATAAGTTGTATACGAGCATTCTTTTTACAACAAAACATTAGTTGGATTTTTCCAACATTGTTTGTAGTAATTTTTGGTCCATTACTCACAGCTATTCCAATGTGGAATAATGCATTAGTTTTTCATGATTTAACTAAATTAACTTCAATAACAATTCACTTATTACCAGGAATGGTTGCCTATTGTATTCGATGGTATAGTGATTTAGATATTCCAAAAGAATTAAACTTTTATAATGGGTTTTTATTCCCATTACTATTTTATTCTACATGGCAAAGTTTTTATTTAATTTATACAGAAATCTTTAAACGAGATTTAATTTATGATGAAGGATATATGACTTCTGTTCGTTGGTTAGTAGAAGAAAAACCTCACAAAGCTGTTTTATTTATGAGAAAGTTTTTCCCTGAAAAAGTGTCATCATTAACTGTCATGGTTATTACTCAATTTGGAATGTATTTTGCCACAACATTACCCCAATTTTATCTTTATAATAATAAAAAAGCTCAAACTTGTTGGATGCTCTTTTGTTTTGTTTATGCCATATGGAATGGTGCCAATTATTATTTTGAAGTCTTTGTAAATCGATATGTTGAATATTTACATAAATTTAAACCATCTCAAAAACAATCAAAAAGTAAGAATAATTGACTTTTTTGTTTTTTTTTTTAACGAATATTATTTGTTTCAAAAGCAGTTATATAAAAGAATTTAAAAGAAGGATTGGATGATTTTTGTTATCTGATGATTTCTAATTTCTTAAAAATTTATCTAAAAAGTAAAATATATTTTGGGTAATATTAGAATGTCAATCATGGATGATTCATCAAATATACATGAATATATTACTCTTATTGAAAATGGTAGAGGAGATGAAGTAATTAAAAAATTAGAAACACAAAATAATAATTGGGTTGGAAGATCTTCTCGTGGTCTTAGACTATTGTTTAGTTCATGTAAAAATAAGTTTGTTACTTAGATAGAAAATATTTAATAAAAAAAAATAAAGAAACACATTCATTCACATTATAGTTGTTTACAGTTAGTTAAATATATTATTGAAAAATTTCCACATAGACTAAATTATCAAGACATTTATGGAAAGTCATGTATTTATGTAGCAATACAAAACCAACAATGGAATATTATTGAATATCTTATTAATAAATCTGTTAATTATCGTTTAGCAGATAAAAAAGGTAATACTGTTTTACATTATCTTTGTGAAATTGGAATTAATAAAAGAAATAAAGAGGTTTATGAAAAATTTATTAATCAAATGTTGAAAGATAAAGATGTTATTAATGCTCAAAATGAATTAGGAGAAACTGCATTGCATATAGGTTGTTTAAATTCAAATAGTTTTGTTGTTAATAGGTTATTAGATAATAATGCTAATGTAACATTAAAAACAATAAAAGGATTAACTCCTTGGGACTATGCAATAATGTCTGATGAAATTTGTGTTGAAAGGAAAAGACTTGACCCATCAACAAATATAAGAATTACAACTACTAAAGGATCAAAGAAATCAAAGTCTTCTAAGGGATATAGAAAATCAAGTAAAATGACTGGGTTAAGTTCACAATTTTGCATTGAAGCATTAGATGAATATCAAAGATCTATTTCATTTATTAGTAAAAAACGTAGAAATAGTGTTTCTAGTTGTTCTAGTATTACAAGTTCATTAAAAAGATTAGATGATATTGATGTTAAAACAGAAGAAATTGTTCAGAGAAGTTCATCAGCCGAAAGAAAGTCAAGTGATAAAAAAGAAAGTATTTTTTCTTTTATTATTGATTTTATTGAAAAAAAAATTGAGAGTGATTCAGATAGTGAAAATGATGAAAAAGAAAAGAAAGGAAAGAAAATGGATAAAAAGAAAAAAGTTTCAAATCCGTTTGTTTTATTTTATTTGTTAATAGGAAAAACGACTTAATAGACTAGAATTTTATTTGAATCTAATGAAGAAAGAATTACAAGGTATGGTATTATTGCTGATGAACTAATGAAACAAATCATTTATTCAAAGAAATTAGAAAAAAAAGAATATCATTCAGGAGAAAAGTTTAGAGTATTATCACTTGATGGAGGAGGAGTTAAATGTATTTATCAATGTGTATTATTAAAAAGAATAATTAAAGAAATTCCTGATTTCTTTGATAAAATTGATTTAATAACAGGATTGAGCGCAAGTTCATTAGTTTCTGTTTCAATATTACTTGGATTAGATATGGAATTTGTTATAAAAGTCATGGAAGCAGTTTCTTTAGAAACATTTAAAAATGAGTCACACCTTGCTGGAATTGCTGGGCATCAATTTACAAATAAATTTTTAAAAGTGATGGGTGAACGATTATTAGGTAATCTTACTATTAATGATCTTCCAAGAAATTGTTGTATTCAGTCATTTCTTATTGATACAGGAAAAGATGATACTAAAAGAACATCAAAAGCAATGTTGTATAATAATTTTATGAAAGAAACATATGATAAAGATCTTAAAAATATTTGTTTACAATCAGCATCAGCACCAGGATATTTTGATCCATTAAATAATCATGTAGATGGAAGTTTATTAGTTAATAACCCATTTTATTTAACATATCCATTAATAATAGGAGAAAATGGTTTAAATATAGCTAAAGAAAATATAGTTGCACTTTCAATTGGTTCTGGATATCCAACAGTTCCTTATTATGATATAGAACAAATGGGAAATGCTGGACTTATTCAATGGTTAATAAAATTATCGGACTTTAATATTTTTGCAAGAAAAGAAATGGGAGTAATGGAATCAAGAATGATATTTAAAAATAATTATTTTAGATTAGACCCTCATCTTCCTATTGAAGTAGATATTGCTGATGCAAAAAATATAGAAGCTATTAAAATTATGGGAAAAGAACAAAATTTAGATAAAGTTATTGAATGGATTAAAAATACATGGTAAATGAATATTGAATTATTGAATTGGAACATAATTGGTTTTATGGTTTTAGAAAGAATATAATTCAAAAATTTGGAAATGAACTAAAAAAGGTGAAATTAATTGTAATAAATAAAAGATGTCAGATTCAATAGAAAAAATCAAAAAAGAAGAAGAAAGTATAGATGATTTTAGCCATAGAATAATAGATATTAATAGAGGGCTTAATAGTAATAGAGTTGATCTTCAAATTAAAGCATTAATAGCAATTAATAATGAATTTGAAGAATATGAGAATTCTGGAATGAAAAGGTCATTCATATCATTGTTTAGAAGTACAAAACCAGAGAAAAAAGGGTCTAATCAAAATATTAAAACAAATCATAAAGTTGCAACAAAGAATGAGCTATTATCCTTTTTAAAATTCCATTCACAAGATATATTAAATCTTATTATTAAATGTCCTCATGAAGAACTACTTAGACATTCAATTCCTGTTATAGAACATATTAATAGTAATAAATTATTAAGTCCACATTTTATTAAATCTATGTCTGATAATGCAGAAAGAATTGGAGGGACTATATTATTACGTGCTCAAGATATTGTTATTAGTGTATTTAATTCAATGTCATCTATTGAAAGAAATCATATTATCCATTCTACATTAGAAAATTCAAAAAATGGAAATTTACCTGCACTTCATATGTTATGTAAATTAATTCAAATACAAGCATTACCTTCACAACAAATTGTTACTTCATTTAGTTTAATAGTTAAACATATCCAAGAATTAAATGAAGATATTATTAAAATATGTTCTATTAATTCATATATAATACCTTTAAAAAGAATTATCATCGGTGCATTTAAAGATACAACAAATGATCCTAGAATGGGTATTGTTTTAACACTTCTTGCTTCAACTTCTCCTTTTGGTGGAGATGCTGATGAAATAAATAAAATGATTGAAGAGGCATTTGTAAAAGAAGTACCAAATCTTGGAGAGCCAATTAAATTGATTGGTAAAAGTGATGATTCTGTATTTAAAATTTGTTTAATGTGTATTATTGATTCTGATGGATTTACTGGTGCAATGAAATGGATTAAAGGGGAGTGGAACAATAAACGAGCGGAATTTGCATTAAATATTTTAGAAGAAAGAAAAGAATTACCTTCAAGTGCATCCTCATTTGTTAAAGAAGTATTTATTCAATATAATGTTTTAGTTACTCGATCAATTATTTATGATTTTGACCAAAGAATTATCACTTCAATAAGATTTGAAGGAGTTTATGGACTTAATCTATTATGGAAGATGCTTATGATTACAGGAGAATGGTCAATTGAACAGTTGTTAGAAGTTTTATATCAAAAGATGCAATTAAGATTTGTTCAAGATGGAATAGAAGCATTTAAATCGAGTCCAACATCACAAGGAGCTAATTGTATTGAAAGTGTATTAAAAAGATATTCGTCACCAAAAACTATTGTTAAAGATGAAGTTAAACAAACACGTTCATGTAATATTAGATGGATTACTCTTAAGAGAACAATTCGAGAAGATAAGCCTTGTTCTATACCAAATATTCAAATGAAAATGTTAGCAAGTTTAAAGGTTATGTCTTCATTAACTAAAGTAACTAAGGTACTTATTGAAAGTGCTCAACAAGATATTGAAAGGACATTCAATTTTATGGACAAATCTGACAAGTTAAATCCAAGAAAATATGAACATACAACTCCAATAAGTAAAATAGTGCTAGACTCTATAAAGGATTTATTAAATGATCCTTATGCCCAAGATTCAATGAAACAATCAATCAATTGGATTACGACTAAAAAATATTCAGTTAATGTATTTATTAATGGTACTGAAGTTACTATTTTCAAGAATATTGGAAGTTATCTTTCTGAAATGGGTGAAATGGTCATTCAAATTAGTTCAGGAGATTCTGAAATACAGTATCAAGAACCAATAAAAAAAGAACCAAGTTTTATAACAAATACAACTCGTACAGTTGTTGTAAAGGAAGAAAAGAATATTGAAAGATGTTCTGAACAAAGTATTAAAGAACTTATTGAATTATTAGAAGATGAAAAAACTCGAAACAATGCGATGAAAGTTATATGTGGGGTTAATAAATATGTTAAATGGGAAGAAAATGCTATTGAATTAGCAACAGAAGAAGGGCCAAAACAATTATTAGGAATTGCACGATTAGAGAGTATTGAAGAAGGATTAAAAGATGAAGAGTATAAAAAGTTATTAACTCTATTTACTGAATTAGTAATTAAACAAAGTGGAATCAAAGAAATATTGAGTTCTATTCTTATCAAGAATGAAATAAAAGTAAATACCAATGTCTTTATTATGAATGAAGAAACTCTTAACCAACTCAGTAAAGAGATTGAAAATGACTTAGACAAATCAAGTATGACTTTATGTCTTGTTCTTTTATTAAAAAATGGAAGAAATATTCCTTGGGATAAAGATGTTTTTACTGCTCCAATTCTGAGAGCATTAAAAGATGGTATTAATAAACAAATATTTGACTCTGTTGTTCCTTTATTAAATGAACCTCCCAAACTTGTTGAAGAATGTAATAGAATTATTATTGAGTATGCAGATGAAAACTGTGAAAATGACCATCCATTTATTCAGTCATTAATACAAAATCTTACTAAGTTTGGGTATGGACTTAATGTTGCTGTCAGAGCATTTAAAACAATGAAGAAAAAACAAGTATTATTAATTCCTTATTTCTGTGATATTATAGATAAATTATTTCCAATGCAAGGGAAAAATATTTTAAAAGATGATGAAATTAATAACCTAATCATATTATTATGTGAGTGTGTTGAAAGTATGAATGATATTACTTGTTCACAATGTTTTAATCATTTTAATCAGATATTAAAAGAGATGAATGGTTGCAATGAAAAGGCTACTTATAGAAAAGGGCAATTCGGTGGATTAGTTAACCAAGGGACAACATGTTATATGAACAGTGTTTTACAACAAATCTTTCATTCTTCACGTTGTACAGCCAATTTATTAAAAAAAGAAGTTAAAATACCAACTTTAATAGAAAATATTGATAATCAAACACATAAACCAAAAGAAGAACAAGAAAAAAAAGAAATAACGGTTGATGTTAATAATCAAGTAAATGATACTGAAAAAGATATTAATAAAGAGGGACAATTTATTACATATAACCAGAATGAGTTCAAAGATTATCGAATGATATTTGGACTTCAAAAATTATTTGTTGATATGTTAAAAGGAATTAATAGTGCAACTCAAACAAAAGAATTTTGTAAAGAAGCACACGGAAGTTGTTATGAAGATATTAAAACATATGAACAGATGGATGCTCAGGAATTTTTTACAACAGCACTGTCATCAATGGAAAGTTGTAAACATTATGAAAGTATTGTTTCAGGATCAAAAGTGTTTACAGGAGAAATGGAAATATCAATTGAAAGTCAATGTGGGCATGAAGTAAAACGAATTGAACAATTTTATTGTAGTGCTCTTGAAGTAGAACATTACCAAACAATTGAACAATCATTACAAGCATTATGTGAAGGGTCTATTCTTTGTGATTATAGATGTGAGCAATGTGGAAAACAAAATGATGCTCAAAGAAGTGAAAGATATAAAGAATTACCAGAAACATTAGTATTTCATTTAAAACGATTTGTGTATAATGACCAATTTGAAATTGTAAAATATAATGGAAAATTTGAATATCCAAATGAACTTGATATGAAAAAATATTGTTGTGATGGTTATAATGGAGAAACTATGTATAAATTAGTTGGAATTGTTATTCATAACGGAGATGCACATGGAGGTCATTATTTTAGTAATAGATTAATCAATGGTAAATGGGTATGTTTTAATGATAGGTCAGTTAGTGCTGCTGAAGGAGAAACATGGTTTGGAGGTAAATCATCTAGTGCTTATATTTTATTTTATGAACAAGCAAGTATGATAGAACAAACTCAAAAAGAAATGTTAGAGATTGTTATAGACCAACCATTAAAACAATATGTAGAAAGAAAAAACAATATAGCATATATATCTCAACGAGCAACAAACCCATTTTTAGTTGATTTAATATGTTCATTTATTAAGAAATATAAACACTTTGGAAATATATTTGATTTCATTAGCTCTGTTACTGCTATAGTATCTCCAAGTTCATTAAATAAAATATTCACTACAATAGACTTAATACTTGATGTTTCTGTTGCCCAAGAATTTCTTGAAAAAATTACTCCATTATTGAAGATGTTTATTGTAGGAGCATCATCAGTCATTATCAAATCAATCAAACTAGTACAATGTGAATCATTCAATGAAGAAATTCTAAAATTAGTGAAAAAAGGAGAAAATGGAACAATGAAGGTATTAAAAATATTGTGTGACTTGAATCAATTTCAAATTAAAGACGTTATTGAAGTCACAAAAGAGTTTATTAAAAATTATAATTATAATAGAAGTGAAGGTTATTATGCTTTCTCTATTCTTTTAAAGGGAATAGAATTAAATCTATTTACTTTTGAAGAAGACTTCATTATGAAGTTAATTGGAAGTAAAGCACCAGACAATTCAATTGAATCTCTTATAAAGGCATGTCCTTTTGAATTAATTAATAAAGTTGTGGTGACAATTTGTACTGATGCATTAAAACGAGGTTTTATAAATAATGAAGAAATACTATTTATTAAAAGAATGATTGTTAGTGAGGTAATTGCAGAAACTATTGCGTTAGAATCAAAAAGTCAAATATTATTATGTAATTCAATAGAAAGTGCTATCAAAACTATTACAGTTGCACTAAAACTTACTTCATGTTCTCCGATGATTTATAATCAATTGAAACAACAAATCACTGAAATCAATAATAACATTATTGATTTCTCTATTAAAATTGATATCTAAATTAGACATTTATTAATTCTTCAGTTAAAAAAAAAATAAATCCTAAATGTTATATTTTTTACCATTTGTCATTATGTAAACGAGTTGCATCAAATCTTTCAGGTCTATTTACTGGTTGGACTTTAGAGACTCCTATTGATACTATAGAAAGAATTTCAACTTGTTCTGGTAATTGAAGAAGTTTTTTTATAGACTCCATTCTATCTTTCTCTGGATATACTCCTAGCCATACAGCTCCATAACCAAGCATATGAGCAGCAAGCAAGATATTTTCAGTAGCAGCAGAAGCATCACAAACCCAATATTCAGGTGTATATGCTTTCTTTAAATTAGCACAAACAACTATAGCATGACTACTGGATTTTAACATTGAAGAATAAGGATGAATTTTTGTAATATTTTCTAATAGTGATTTTTCTCAAATAATAATAAACTCGGTTTCTTGTTTATTCACTGCAGTTGGAGCATAAAAACCAGCACGAACAATTTTATCGATATCTTCTTCAGAAATTTTTTCTCCAGTATATGAACGGACACTTCTTCTATCATAAAATAAATCCATGTTCATTCTTTATTTATCAATTTCAATTTATAAAGTTTTTCTCATTAAAATACTCAAAGCCACGTGTTATTGACTTTTTTATTTCAACAAATTTAGTTCAAATATTTTTAAAACAACCCAAAACAGTATTATTTTTCTTTTTTAAATTATAAAACATTAAAAGGATTTTTGTTTTTTAATTTTGGTTTGAGGTTTATACCCATTCAACTCCAACTATCCTTGTAACTTCAAAAAATGATGGATACCGAATATATGTCAGTTTTGACTCTTTTAACATTGGGTAGAACTGAGATATTTGTGCTTGAACATAAGACCCTTTTCTTCCTCTAACTGATTGAATAGAAAATGCAGGAGTTTTAAAAAGGAAACACCCTGACTCAAACAGTGTTAAACAAGATATTTCTTGAGTAGATTTCCACATTTTATTTGTAGGTTTTCCATGCCGTTCAATTGAAAAAATAAAATGGTTTTGGTCAACTAAACTTGACTGAACATCAACTTTTGGAATTTTATAATGAATTCCAAATACGTCTTTATCCTCTGTAAATACTAACAAACTAATATTGCCTTTTGACATAATTTTTTTGTTAAATGTATTTGAATTCCATTCATCATATTCTGTATCATAAATCACCATAGCCTTATTTCCATTGACCCATCCCTTTAATTTTAAGAAAATTTTATCATCCTCTAGTTCGGATAATGTATGGAGAGCAGATAGTAATGGAGATTTTAATTCATTCCTCTTTTTTGTATTTATTCCTGAACCAGCAAATACAGGTAAATGGTCAATTACAGAAACACGAATAGATAGAGTCGATAAAACAATACTAATAGGTGTGATTATCTGTTTAAGTTGTTTTCCTGTAATAATGTCATCATCTTTAATGGTACTTAATGCGTTATCAATAACCTCCATTAATCAAATAGAATTAAGATGATAATTATCAAAGAAGATAAGATAAGATTGCAATCTACTTATTACAATAATGATATGTGAAAAGTAACATAAAATAAAAACCAAAAAAAATAATTGCAAAAAAATAAATGAAGTTATTGTTGACAAGATACAAAACAATCTAAGTTAATTGGGGTTGATTCTTCAGAAGTATATGTACACAATAGCTCAGGTGAATTAACCCAACTTAAATTTTCTTGTTCTTCTGAGATTTTATTTTCAGTTAATGATTGTAAAATTATTTTGTCATCTTTGCTTGACTGTTTTGTTGATGATTTAGTTATTTGAGACGGATGTTCAGAAATAAAGACAATTTGGTCTTGATCAATATTCTGTGTAATCCAACAATTTGCACCAATTTTAACATTACTTCCAATAGTAATATTTCCAAGAACTTTAGCACCTGCCCCAATAACTACAAAATCTCCTATAGTTGGATGACGTTTATTTCCTTTTATAACAATACCATTATCTTCTTTGAAACTCATTGCACCTAGTGTTACTGACTGATACACTCTGCACCAATTACCAATAACTGCTGTTTCACCAATAACAACACCAACACCATGGTCAATGAAAAAATGATTTCCAATAGATGTACCTGGATGAATATCTATTCCTGTAACACTATGAATATTTTCCATAAGTTCTCTTGAATATTCAATATCACCATTCATGTACAAAATATGTGCAACTCTTTGAATCATCATAACATGAATACCAGGATAAGATCGAATAATCATAGCAAGACTAGATGCAGCAGGATCACCAGTATATGCAGCAATAATGTCTTGTTTAACTAACTCTCTAATAGTAACAAACTGGCTAAGAAGAGCAGTAATACATTTTTCAGCTAGTTGTTGGTTATAATAAGCTTCTATAGAATTTTGAATATGATAAACAAGTAATGAAAGTCTTTCTAAAACATTATTGAAAGTTCTTTTATCTCTTCTTGTAAAGAAATCAGGAAATAAAATCTTTTGTATTAATTCTAATTCTAAGAAACTTTTTTTCTCAGGAAATTGTTTAGTACTTTTGAATGCAATATTATCACTTTGATAACTTTGGACCAATAGCTGAGATGTTTGTTGTAGTAAAGAACTCATGTTTAACTTACTAGATTTTCTCTAATCTCGTTTAAATCTTTGGTTGTACTATACAAATTACATAGGTTCTCTTTCAAACCTTCTGTTTCTATTTTTATTCTTCCCATTTTTCTACAAAAATAATTTTTCTTTTTTTTTTAGAGCTATTTTTCGGGATTTTCTTCATTGGATTTGTTTATTATGAAAAAAAAGAAATTCTGGGTGTCGTAGGAAGATGAGGTGTTCAAAGAAATATTCAATTTTATTTTATTCATTAGTTCTAAAAATATATTATGGGAATTTGCTCCTAAAACAGGAGATAAGTTTCATTCTCCACTAAATAAATCTAAAACAGAAAGTCCCATCACTTCAACACATAGACTAGTTTCAAAAAGAATTAATGCCTGAAGAATCATGACTCCTAATTAAATACTTAATTTGTGATATTTAAAACAAAAATGTTTCATAAAATAACAAGTATTTAAAAAAAAATATGAAACATTTTATTTTTTTAGTATTTATCCTCCCTAAAATGTTTTTATTTCTTTGTTTTCATTCTTCAGTATTTTTGAAGTTATTTTATTTAATACTATTACTTTTAGAACTTTTATTTCCATATTCAAAAAGATTAATGAGCCAAACACCACGACTCATTCCTGTTAATGATTTTATTCTTTGTAATCTTCATGTAAATGCACATAAATTTCAAATAATTACTTCAATTGCTTCTTGTTGTGATGTTTGTGGCTCAAGTATTACTCCATTCAGTCGGGCAGTAAAATGTGAAACATGTAATTTATTAGTTCATGAAGACTGTACTGGGTATTGTTATTTACCTTGCTTTTTACCACAAAATCAGTCTCAATCTAATTCATTAGAATCTTCTTCATTAGAAGAAATACACAATCATTGTATAAATGGACAACATATTCTTGAAAAGACGGTGAGAATGTCTCCAACATTTTGTACTGTATGTAGAAGTTCTATTGTTTCATCTGCCTTAGGTGTATTAAAATGTAGAATATGTGAATGTTATGTACATTCTAAATGTGTTCATGGATTGTCTCATCTATGTAGACCTGTTGCATCCCCATCAAACAAAGAATATCATTGGTTTGTTCCAGGAAATTGCAATTCAACTGGGTTAACAACTCACACATGTTATGTTTGTAAAAAGTCAGTAGGAAGTAGCTTAGCTTTAACTGATTTTAGATGTTGTTATTGTGGAATGTTTGTTCATCCTCAATGCATTCAATATGCCCCTGCTTTTTGTTATCATGGAGTATTAGGCAAATATATCCTTTCTCCTTCTGTTACAGAAATGGATAGTGAATTTCATTTTAAAGCAATAAAACGATTTGATAAAGAGCCAATGATATTCTTTATTAATAGAAAAAGTGGTAATTTACTTGGTGAACAAATTTTAAAGGAAACTCAGTACATGTTTTCAATTCCTCAAGTTTGTGATGTGTTTAAAGGATTTGAACCAACTTTTGAATATATTAAACCATATGGTGATAACTTCATTGCTGTAGTTTGTGGTGGTGATGGTACAGTTGGATGGGTAATGAATGAATTAAGAAAAGCTGAGTTAAAACCAAAGATTTTTGTTATTCCTTTAGGTACTGGTAATGATCTTTCACATTGTACTGGATGGGGAGGAGGATATAATGGGGAAGATATTGAAGACTTACTTAGGAATGTGTCTCAGGCATTAGTTCAAAAATTAGATAGATGGCAAGTATCTATCCATTCAGAAATTGTTGGAGAAACAAGAAAATTAATATTTAATAATTATTTCTCTATTGGGTTAGATGCTGGCATTGCTTTAAACTTCCATTTAAGAAGAGAGGCTAATCCTGATGCTTTCAACTCTAGAATAATCAATAAAATTCAATATGTATTTAGTTCACCACAAGCACTAACAGAAGACTCTGGAGATATTGATAAGGTTATTACATTAATAGTAGATGGAAAAAGAATCAAATTAGAGCCAATGCAAGGGTTAGTTTTTTTAAATTTAGTAACTTACGGAGGAGGAGTTAGATTTTGGGATAGAGTTACTCCAGATGAATCTATTGGAGGACTAAAAGATAGCAATTTTGGAGATGGATTAGTTGAAGTAGTTGGATTTAAATCTGTAATTGAAATTCCATTAATTATGTCTGGAATGCAAAAGCCTGTTAAAATAGCACAAGGTAAGGTTATTGAATTAGAGCTTACAGAAAAAAAGCCAGCACAAACTGATGGGGAGCCTTTTATATTAAATCCATGTAAGATAGTTATATCTTTATATGATAAAGTAAAAATCATGGTAAAGAATAGCTTTTATTAATTCTATTACTACAACTTTTTTATTATTGATTATCAATAATTTTTGGAAATAGAACAGAAAAAGAAAGTGTATCAAATTAATTAGCTTGTTTAAGAAGTACGTCTTTTTCCTCACTTGTCTTAACACAATACAAAACTACTGAAATACCAGCAGCAAGGAAACTTGATACAGCTGATACAATAATTGGAAGAAGATAATCATCCCAAGCTAATTGAAGAAGAGCAATAAGACCAGATGAAAGGAATTGAGCAAAAACTACAGCACAATTAGCTAAACCAATAAAAGCACCGAACCTATCTTCTGGAACAACTTTTTTAAGCATAGAATAAGGAAGTGAGTTAGTTTGTACAAATGCCATAGCAGGGAAGATTGATGACAAAAATCCAAGTGTTAATGAGGAAATAAATTGAGGTTTTGAGTTATCATCTTGGTAATTAGATGGGAAAGTGTAATAAAGAGCACATAACATACTATAAGAAATACCAGCAAGGAATTGGAAAAGAAGGAATGTGGTAACTTCTCCAATAATACCTGAAATAATAGGGAATATAAATACTGATAAACATTGGAATACAGCAAAAACACATAAAATAATAAGACCCATTCTAAGACCATCATCACTTGAACCATCTGGATAAACAGATTTAGACATATAATTAGTAAAGTTTGTATTAAATGGTTGGAAAGCAAACCAACCAAACATAAGTGCTAATAAAATGAAAATGATATCTAATCTAATCATTTTAATGGCATGGAACAAATCAATAAATGGTGCAAAAATATTAAGTTTCTTTCCTTCTTCAGGAATGTATCTTTCTTCTTTAGAGAAAAGAACTGTTGGAATAGTAGAAACAAGTACAACAATAGCACATAATGCAAACATAATAAGGAATGTGCTTGATGATCCAACTGTTCCAGCAGAGATACCATAACATGCAATTGAAGCAAATCCAGAACATGCATTGATCATAAGATTAGCATCTTGTTGATTTTCTGCATCAAAAATGTCACTGACAATAGCACGAGATGGTGCTTGCATAATATTTACACCAAAGAATGCTACAAACAATCCAAATAATGCTAAGAATGTACCAACTAAATGGTCACTAAAAGTTGTTTCTTCTGATCCATCATTCATGCCTTGGTCTATAAAAGTTGATGCAGCAATAATACATAATCCAAGTATATCAATAATTGCACCAACAACTAAGAAAATTCTTCTTCTTCCGAATTTGAATGTACATTTATCTCCAATAGCACCAAAAATAGGTTGAACAAAAAGTCCAATCAACGGACCGACAACCATAAATATAACGTTCACCCCTGTGCCATTCATTTGGAATTGAGTTCCAAATAATGGTCCACTCAATCCAAAAATTGCAGAAAAGGAAAATTGAATTCCCATTTGACAACAACTGGCAGCAAATAATTTGAGATAAAGAACTACACTTCTTGGTGCCATATATTTATAAATTTTTAAGATGAAACTCTTTTTAAGTAGTAATTTTTTTCTTAATATATCTTACCAAAAAATTCATATTGTTTTTTGATAGTTTTATTATAGTTCTTTTTTTTTGATAATTGCTACTTAGTTTTAACCTTGATACTTTCTTTCACTATTAACTGCTTTTTCTTTGTTTTCTTCTCCCAATTTTACTACTAAATCTTGTAATTAGTTTTTTAGATTTCTAGTTTTTTATTGATTAAGATACTTATTTTTTTAATCGAAGAAGATCATTCCACTTCAAAAGACATTTCTTTAGGAAAAGTTATTTTGTAGAGATTTTTTCATCTTTAACACAAATTAAAATAACACAAAATAGATTTAAATAAAAAGGCTTTTAATTTTTTCTGTAGTTGATAACTTTCTTTTTCTTTTTGTTTTTTTAGAGTCACAAATAATTTCAGCTATTTTATTCCAAAGAAGTCTAACATCGCCAACTTGTTTTGATGAACATTCATAAAGAAAATGAGATTCAGACCTTGATTTAAATGACTCTAATAAATCTTCTGTTACAATTTTCTTGTCAGTTGTTATATCTTCGGAATTTTGATCACTTTTCAAATCAACTTTAGTCATTACAAAGATTACTATTGGATCTGTGACATTATTTTTTACTTCACGTAACCATTTCCGTTCAGCATGAATTAACGTATCTTTATCTACATAAGAAAAGACAATCACAAAACAATCTGTATCTCGATAACTTAATGGTCTAAATTCATCATAACTCTCACTACAATCTACTTCCCAAACTTTTAGTACAATAGGTAATTTTTTTATCTCAAATTCAAAAGAATAATTTATTTCACCATTCCCAAATTTTTCTTCATAACTTTGGATTTTTTGTGTCATTAACAAAGATGTTTTTCCAACTCCAATGTCACCAATTACAGCGACTTTGAATTCCTTTGCTAAGTTCATCAAAAGATAAATATTTTCAGTTTATTTTACTAATTTTTTCATAGTTATATTTTAAGAAACTCATTTGTAATTATTTTTGTTAAGAAAATAATGATTGATTGTCATTGTCATTTACCTTCTAGTTATAAATGTATTTTAAATCTCAATGAAAATGACACCTCTGACTCTTTTTATAGACAACTTATTAGTTTTGGAATCCATCCTTGGCATTGTGGAGATGAAACTCTTTGTCAAAAACAACTACAAGTACTAGAACAATTGGTGAAACAAAATCAAATAATTGCAATTGGAGAATGTGGATTGGATAATAAATTAACTACTAACTCTATTAGTACTCAAAAGAAATGGTTTTTGAAACAAATTGAATTAAATCAACGTTATAATTTACCTGTTTATATACACTGTGTTAATATGGTAAATGAAATTATTCTATTAAAAAAGAAATGGATAAATCAACGTTGGATTTATCATGGGTTTAATAGTTCAAATGAAGTTGCTAAAAAATTAATATCTATGAATTGCTGGTTATCATTTGGAAGAAATGTATTAAACAATAATAATATTAAAATTAATAATTCTCTTAAAATTGCTTTTGAAAATAAAAGACTACTTATAGAAACTGATAATGATGAAACTCATTTTGTAGATTTACAACATATTTATAATTCAATTGCAAATAGGTTAAATTGTTCAATTGATATTCTTATTAATGAGGTACATGATTCTTTACACCAACTCCAAATCCTTTGAATTTTTAATGATTCAGTTAATTTTATTATAATTAAACTATAATTTAATTAATTCTTATAATTTTATCTCAAGAAGATAGAAAAAGAAGTGTATTAAATTTATTTAGAAAAAAAAAATGAAATCTGAAATTAACAAAAGATGAGTGAAGAGGAGAATAAACCTATTGAAGAAACCCCAACAACTGAAAAAAAGGTCAAAAAAGTTAAGAAAGTTAAAAAAACAAAAAAGGCTTTAAAAGAACTTCCTGACTTTACTTCTGTTAAAGTAAAATCAAAACCTAAATCTAAAAACACAGAAAATGAAAAGAATGAAGGACTTTATACGTATGATGAGGTTTGTTTCTTCTTTAAAGAAAGAATTAAAAAAAATATTAATTAAATATAGTTATTGGATCGTATCTTTGCACAATGTAATATTTCTCAGAATTCATCAAAACAAGAAATCGAATTACCACAGATCAAGGTTGTAAGAGAAGGTTCAAAACGTGTAATTTGGGAAAATTTCACTGATATTTGTAAAAGATTACATAGAAGTCCAGAAGATATCAAAGTATTTGTATTAGAAGAATTAATGACTATTGGTTCAATTGATGCTAAAGGTGGATTTACTATTAAAGCAAAATTACAACCACATCAATTAGAAAATATCCTTATTAAATATGTCAGCCAATTTGTTCAATGCCCTGAATGCAAATCACTTGACACTGAATTAATTAAAGAAAACAGAATTAATTTCATTAAATGTAATGCCTGTTCTTCTAAATGTTCTGTTGCTGTGAAAAAGGCAAATGATTAACTAATTCAACGTTTTCTATTTTTTATTAATAAAAGAACTATATTTTATAATTTCATTTTTTCTCAAAGAAAAAATAAAAAAAGATCTAAGATGAAAAATAAAATTTCAAGATGGTAGAAGTTATCGATCATGTGACTTGCCCAATTGAGAAATATGAAGAGGTTAATGATATTATGAATGACAGTGTTGTTAGTTTATTATTTAACAATAATGAACGAGAATTGAATAGAGATGTTGCTGAAATTCAAGACCCTATTATTACATTTAAGAAAATATTAGTGAGAGAAGTTGTTAAACCAAAAACAGAAATCAAAGACTCAACTGAAGTATCTGATGAAACTAATGTCCAAGTTAGTGATGAAGATAAAGAATTTAGAGAGGCATCTATTCAACAAAGCATTGATAGATTAAATGAGATAGAAGAAAAATATAAAAGTTATGAGGACCAAATAACAAAAGAAGAGGTGTTGCTTTATCTAAATAATCCCGAAGATTGGAAATATCATCAGTTAGAAAAATTTAGTAATGAGTATAGGGACTCTGTTCCATTAAAAGTATCTTGTCATACATATAATATTGATCAAAATATATTTGAACCAAATTATCTTGAACCATGGCTTATTGTTGATTTTGATAGTGATATTGTTGTAGCCTCCGTACAAGAACTTGACATGAGTGCAACAGGTATTGTAGCAGGAAGAGGAATTACAGAAAAAGGAACTATATGGAAAAATAATTTATTTGAAACATTAAAGAAAAAAGGAAATTATCATTTTGTGAAGATGGAGCAATTATGTGGTATTGTTATATTTATGTTTGCTAAACCAGAAATTGTTCCTTTAATGAAAAATATAGAAACATCATGGCATGCTGTTGGTAAAATGGGATTAGCAAATAAAGGAGGAGTTGCTATTCGATTTGATATGAATGAAACACGATTTTGTTTTGTAAATAGTCATTTAGCTGCACATCAACAATTTTTAGATAAACGAAATGGACATTGGAAAATGATTTGGGAAGAATTGAAATTTAAAAAATGTAAAATTGTTGATCATGACTATATTATTTGGATGGGGGATTTAAATTATCGTATTGAGATGGAAGATTCTGTTGTAAGAGATCTTATGTATAAAGGAGAGTTAGATACACTTTATGCCAAAGATCAATTAAATACTTCTAAAGCAAAGGGAATTGTTTTTTATGGGTTTAAAGAAGCACCAATTCATTTTATTCCTACTTTTAAAATTATTTGTGGAAAGGATGAATATATTGATGATAGAATACCTGCTTGGTGTGATAGAGTATTATGTAGAACACAAAATGCATATCCATATGAAGTATGTAATTATACTAGTCATAATTTGTTATTAAGTGATCATAAACCAGTTTCATGTTGTTTTACATTATATCCTTCAAAAACTCTTCCAGACAAATTAGAAGAAGTTAATTTTAAGATATGGAAAATGACAGATTATATAGAAAAAAAATTAACACCTTATGTAGAAATTGATAAGACAGAACTTTATTTCGAACAGATTGAGTTATCTCAGACTTATAACCAAATAATTAAAATTAAAAATATTGGAGAATATCCAACTCGATTTGAATTCTCTCAACGTCCAGACAGTAAATTGGTTTGTCCTACTTATTATGTTATTAGTCCTCAAGATGGGTTATTACAACCTGGAGAAGAACAAAATGTTAAAGTTACTTTATTCATCCAACCAGAACAAGCAATGATCGTGTGTAAAAAGACTATTATTGATGTTTTTTCATTGTCATTTGCTTATGGAGGTATACACTTCATTACAAGTAAAATTGATATAGTTGACTCAATATTTGGTAAAGACCTTAAGACAGTAACTTCAATGAAAGATCCATATCAGTCTGTAGAAGGGTCAATTACTACAGGATTAATAAATCAACAAATCCCAAAAGAAATTTGGAGACTTGGTTCTGATATTATTTCTGAGATTAAAGCTGACACACTTATTCAACATCCAACTGAAGTAACTGTAAGAGAAGTTCTTCATTCAATTAATACTAATAGTAGATATACTACTAAATCAGCTTCAGCAATGTTACAAGGCCTTTCTTATTTCTTAATGGCTTTACCAGATTCCTTAATTCCTTCAAGTAGATTTTATGATGTTACAACATGTAAAACAAAAGTTGATGCCTATGCTGTAGTCAACTCATTACCAAATGAAAATTATAGTTTATTCTTCTATATTACTGTTCTTATTCGTCAAATTGTTGAATCAATAAATAATAAGACTATCACATTACAAACTGTATGTGACTTTTTCTCTAGACTAATTTTGAGACATCCAACCAGTTCAGTAATTATTAAAGAAAATATTGAACGAATTAGTAATTTCCTTATGAATTTTGTGGATATTTAACTCCTCATTTTCTTATTTCAATTTTCTGTTTTTGGTTCTTTTTTCGTTGGAAATTTCCACCAAAAAACGTTTTTTATATAAAAAACTAAAAAAGATATATAATACTATAACATCTAAAAGAAATGAAACATCACTTCTTTGATGGTGGAAAAGGTTGGTGTGAGGTATGTGGCAATAAATTACTCTCAAAAAGCATGTATTGTACTCAATGTGGAATGACAATCCATCAATTTTGTATTGATTTATGTTATGAACCATGTCTTGAAAATAAAATTTATCCAATAGTAGAAGATTATGACCAAAATGCAAAAGAGATTAATGCACATTTATTATCTTATAATAGATATAACTGGGTAAATTATTGTGTTGTTTGTAGAAAAATAATCCCACCTCAATTTAAATGTTGTTTATGTTCTATTTGTGGTATTAAATTACACGAAGAGTGTATTACTTTAATTAGATGTGGATGTAAACCATTACATACAGTAGTTCATTGTCTAGTTAAAGGAAATTGTAATGGTATGTGTTGTGTTTGTAATAAAAGTGTAGGAAGTTCATTTGTATTAAAAGATTTTAAATGTGTTTGTTGTCAAAAAGTCGTTCATTCAACTTGTTTAAATAAAATGTTACCATGTATTCCAACATTAGCTTTATATAATGTATTATCTGAACCACTTCGATATCCAATTATCGTTGTTTCTTCTACAAAAACTTATAACCAATTTAATATTAATTTATTAAATGAGAGTAGACAACTACTTTCACCGGAACAAGTATTTGATTTACAATATGATTTAGAAAATTTATGTTTATACTCAAAACACTATCAACAATGTGTATTTGTTATTTCTCTTGATGACAATGAATTGAATGAATTATTAAATCTTTTTAGTATGGAAAAAATAAAAAGAAAAGTAGTAATAACTCCATGTGGATTAGATAATGATTTAAGTCTTTATTGTGACTGGAATAGAGATTTGGTTTCTTTCACATATCAATTTTTATCTAAAATACCCAATTCTTTTTCTATTGATTATGACATTTGGGGGACAGACCAACTTTCTTTTATGAAATTTCTTTGTATTGGACTTGACGAACTACCACCACTAACATTTTCTGGTGTTGTATATAACTCCATTAAACTATTAACATATCCATTTTCAACATCAACACTTACACAACCACTAAATAATCTGTTTGATATTCTAGTGGATAATGTCATTGTTCAATTACCAAAAATATCAATATTAATGGTTTTAAATTTATCAACATTTTGTGGTATTTCCCTCTGGAATGTAACAGACGATGATTATATTTTTGGATTTCAAGATTCTGAAGTGAATGACGGAATCTTTGAGGTAATTGGATTTACAGATATATCTCATTTTACTCACTCATTAAAACTATTACAATTACCAATTAAAATAACACAAGGAAGTTCTATCACTTTTAAAATAAAAAATCCTCTTCCAGTACATTTTGATTCAAAAAAAATTATAGCCCAAACATCGTTTACGGTGCAAAAGTTAACAACACAAAGACTTGGAATTAGAAATAATAATTATTGAATTTCTGTCAATAAATTTCAGTTAACTTTTTCTAACAAACAAAATAATCTTGAATAAAAACTACATTTTAACTATAATTCTTTGAATGAAGACTTAATAATTCTTTCATGTTCAAAACAAATTCCATTTAATATTTTTTTGAAAAGGAAGTAAGTATAAGTAATACTTTTATTCAAACTAAACATGAACAGTAAAACTAAAATATATTTAAAAAAAAAAACAAAGATAAAAAGAATTACTTTCTAAACAAAGATAATTAAATAAAAGTTGATTATTAGTAATCCTAATTAAATACCTAATCTATAACTATAAAGAGAAATCCTTTAATTCTATTTTTTTAAACCATAACATTAAAATGAAAAAAATATGAATTTAAAAAATACTTATTGAGTTGCTTGAGCCTCCCACATTGCTTTTAAACTTTTTACTGATTGGGGTGATGTATTATTTTCTTGACTTGTAGAAGTGATTATACTAGATACAACTTTTGTTTGTTGAGAATTATCATTATTATCATCACTATCACTCTTTTTTCCTTTCTTTTTATCTTTCTTTTTGTCTTGTTTATCTTTCTTTTCAGATTTAGACATTCGTGGACTTCTTGGGCTTACTTCACTTCCAACAGAGTCTGACTCTTCTTGTGTACTAATAATATCTTTATTTTCAGCACACATTCGCTTGAAACAAATGTCACACGTTCGTTCATAACTATTTCCATTCTTCACTTTATTTCTACTACAATCAGAACAAATACAACTTCCACAAAATCTACAATGATGCTTTCTTCTTACAACACCAAATTCCTTTTTACAAGACATACACTCTTTAACTTGATCATCTGGAACAAATACTGGTCTCATTACTAACTTATGTTCCATCTTCCTATCTCTAGGTGTTTTTAATAGAACAGAATTAGACTTACATTGATCAATAGCATCCTTTAAATCTTTTACCCAATCACTTTTCTCTTGTTCATTAGCAGCAATAATACTAAATGACTTTTCAGGTGAAAATATATCAAACCTTA